AAAGGTGAAAAAATTGAAGACAAAAATTGTAATCTAACTTGAATTTCGGTTTGATGCGAGTATAAATTACTTTTTGGTCCAATACTAGTGTATGTTTTCAAATTATTAAAAAAATGCTTCATCATACCACGTTCACGATCAGCCCATGTCGTGATGGTATGTGCATCCATTGCACCAAATTGTTGAAAGCTTGCAAGTAACTTTGGCAATAATCTTAAAGATACAACTACAGAATGATTAGTTGCTAAATTTTCTAAGCAACCTTCAATGAATTTCATTGGTATTAAACGATCAACATTAAAACATAGTAAATTACATAATGCTTTCTCCGCTTCTAATGCTAATCCTTCTCCCAATTGACCAATTTTGTCATCTTGCAAAAGATCCCACAATAATGTATTTCCTGGTTTACATACTGTCTCTAAGTTAAATTGAGAATTCAATCTTGATACCGCTTGACGGACTGTTCGTACTTGTGGAGGACGACATACAGATCTTCTAATAGTCATAGTTGGATGTGAATGATGTGGATGATACGCTTGCATTTGAATAGCTGTTAAGTGACGTGCTGCTAGCTGTGCTAATTCTTCTTCACAACCACTTTCTTCACCATCAAAATCTGCCATATTTTTCTCACTTTTATTAGATATTCTACTACTATAAGAGCCTTCTTCATCTGAAAGCATTTCATCTAAACCAGAAGGTAAAAAAGTAGGTCCACTTGCATGAACTAATCCAGCAAGTTCAGATATAACAGCTCCTGGACCATCTGCAGCAGCTAGTACTCCTGCTACATCACTATCATCTTCATCATGAGATGTATCTGCAGAATCAGGTGCTCTGTCTACATTATGGCCTACTAATGACATATATTTATTTTTGTTTGCTCTTCTCAATAATGATGCTGTTGTTGGTACTTGTTGATCAGTTGGATCTAAAGCCATGGCCTGTTGTTTGACCCGATCAAGAGTATCAACAATTTTTGATTCATCCAATGAGGTAAATGTACCAGATTCTAAGCTACCATCTAATACATCTTCTGTTCTACTTTTACTATTCAATAATTCTTTAGACTTTATGCTACCTTCTTGACTAACAATATCTTCCAATGTTTTTTCAATTGTTGTTATTGATCGTTTTTGAGGTTTCTTTCTTTTTCGTAATACTTTTCTTTTTTTCTTTTCATGAATTACTGGTTCTTCAGTATTTGACTTTTCTGTATCTGCTTCTACATCAGAACAGCTTTGTTTATCCTTTGTATCGTCTTGCAATGCATTTGAAGGTGTGTCTTTTGTTAGCTCAGTAGTACATTCGGATTTTTCAGAAACAGGGTCTTCTACTTCATTTAAATTTGATTCAACAGGGATGCTTTCTAAACTTTTACCTTTAAATGGACCTATTAAAAAAGACAAATTCTTTCCTTAATTTATATTTTTAATATTGAAAAAGTAATTGAATGATTAATTGATATACCTTCTCCATCACTGCTATCTCCTCTTGCTTGTTTCCTCGGAGATGGACCATCGGATAAAGCAGGACTAGGTTCTTCTTCATCTTCATCAGGACTACTACCATCCATTCCACTTGGATCACTACTACTACTTCCTCCAACACCACTTGAACCTCTTAAAATTTCTCTGTTTTTCATAGTTAAGCCTCTTGAATAACCCGAACCACCAGATGTCCATATAAATTTTATCAATGCTGATGCTAAAAACAAACTTTGCTCTGTATGATCCTTAGGCTCTAACTTTCCTAGTAAAGAATACAAATGAAGAACAGGTGTGGGTGCTAAATGTTTCACTAATGGTGCCAATAAATCATATACTGGACGACCACAATGTTTTAACTGTGCAGCTTGCCAAATGGTATCCATATCTGAAGATGTAATTCTACCTTCCATAGCTAAGAAACTTAACACAATATGACTTTGTTTAATAACTTCTACATGTAAATTTGGTCCAAATATATGAGCTATGATATTATTATCAGTCAACCATGCAGCTAGTGCATGGCCTACTTGTTCAACTTCAGCAACTGTTTCACTATTACAAAGTTCATTAAATGCAGTAATATGAGCATTAATTTGAGCTACTCCTGCCAATCTCATAGTCAAAGTTGTGCTGGTAAAATATTTGAAAGCCAAGTCTAAACCATCTCGATCAAAGCTTGGCAATACTGCATCTATTGGATCTTTAACTGCACTCCACATGAAATCTTAACACACAGAAATATATTAAATCAAATTTGATTCATTTATATAGCTATAAATTTTTTACTTCAGTTATATTTTTAATTGTTACCTGCCATAGTTCTAACTGCTGGTGTGCGTAATTCTTTATCACCTAATCGGCACATATACTTCATAACTCGACTACGTAGAGGTATAAATAATTGAATAACACTACCATAGTTTAACCAAAGTTTTAAATTACAAATTACTGCAACCATAGAATGTGCAAGGCTAACAGGCAGTGTATTCTCCATATCAAAACAACCAGACATTAAATTAAAACCACCTTGATGGCAAAATATAGATACTGCACGAATCAAAGGTGCAGGTACTTCAGGATCATGAGGTTCGCAATAACCTCCTTCATCCTTCATAAATAAATAAAGATAAATAAATACATAAAAATAATTTCATTGAATATACTACAATGGGTTACATTACCTTCACTGGAGCTAATGGATTTATAGCACCTCCATGTTTCATTGCAATATAGAGAGGAAAATTAAGTAAAAAAATTTTGGAGAGAAGATGAAATAATTTTTCTCTGTCTTGTTGAGACCAACTAGATGTTTGGTTTGTATCGCTTGTATTTCCTTTATTTGTGCTTTCTTCCTCTTTTTCTTCTTTGGCTGACTCTTTTGTATTATCCTGCTGTCCATCTTGTTGTATAGTTTGTAATTGTTGTAATGTACAGAGAACAATACTTTGAGTCAGCCTTATAAATCGATCAAAGTTTTTAATTTCTCGATAACAACACATACATTGTCTATAAATTGCAAAAAATGTAATCTGTTTAATAAACAGAAAATCTAACTACATTATAATCAATAATATTATACCTTTGTACCCATTGGTTAACATAATGTAAAGTAGTGTCCACATCTGCTACACATAAAGTAGTTAACACATCTTGCTCTTTTGATGTTCGATCATCATCTATACATATAAGATTATTTCTATGAATATATATTTAAAATGTATACAAAATGTTTTATAATATCATTAAAAAAGTTAAAATTGATTATATATAACCTAAAATGTTTCTGCCATTTAACTATTTTATTTTGATTTTATTATTGCGTTTTTTTTAATTAATATCATAAATATTGTAAAGCTATACAAAATTTTAAAATACTGAAATTGATCTCAGGTTATAAAGCTTGTAACAAAGAATTATATGTAAAAAAACAAAATACGATAGTTATATATATGTATATAAATAGTAATCTATAAATTACTCTACTCATACGTTTTCTCTATTACAATCATATAACTACGTTAATACATAAACTATGTAAAGGAATAGAATAGGTTAAGATAAAATAGACTTGTGTATATTATGCTTACAAGAGAGCAGAAGATCGTGAAAGTCAACGCATACATCACACATGATTATTTTACTGTAGCCCCGAGAAGGCTTTTTTAATCACGTTAAGTTCATCACTCAATTTCATTACCATGCACTGCCAAGAATGATAATATTATTAAACATCTCTGTCTTTCTGACTATTCTGAACAGTTGATTAATTCGTTAGCCTCCATATTGCTTTTCTTGTCGCAGCTGAATTCACTCGTAACTTACTTCAAGTAAAAAGTTTTGTTTTTTCAATGCCTATCTTTCTATTTCGTTTAATTACAAATTGATTGAAATTAAAAAAAAAAATTGAACGTAATTTTCACATATGTAAAATACTTTTCATTAATAGCAATAACAATTTCGATTAGATAATCCAATTTTCTATCTATATGAATGTCATTATGACAGAAGACAGCTGATTGCCGCCATGTTATATGCATACAACGTGGATTTCAAAATTCTATTTACTATATTAGTAGTAATTAATAGCAGAAATATTAGTAAAAAAAATGATAAAGTAATAAAAATACTTGTATTATATATATGTATATGTAAATATATCTATTATATTGATTACACAATTAATATAGTTATTATGTTTATACTTTATCGTGATATATTATTTTTATAATTTAGACAAATAATTCCAATTGGGAAGGTATGCTTATTGATAAATTTCATTAACTCTTGGCAACAATGTAATAATGCTACTTTTAAAGGAAATATGTATTATACAATTATCTTTCTTACACATTAATTCGATATTTTTGTTAGAAAATAAAAAAAATAATATTTTAATTTTACTTTTATTATATATCAATAAAACAATATAAAGATTAACGTAGAAATTTATTAATCTTTCATAGATAGTTTTTCAAATTTTCTAAATAATTATATGTATATATACTATTAATTATATAAATATATATATATATTTCATAGATATGTAATTTAAATTAATTATAAGTTGACAGTTAAATGATTATGTTTCTGTCATATTCAACTTTCGATTTAACTTTCAATCGGTTAATCTCAGGGTCGTATAAAAATCTTTTTAGATCTATTAAATTATTCATATTATAGTTTATATCAAATTACTATACGTGAAATAAAATAGTCATAATATAAATGTTTCATATTTTATAGAGTTATAACATAAAAAAAAATTTGTATATAATAAATGCAATATTAGATGTCAGTTTTAATATTTCAAAAGGAGAAATATTATTTATTGAAAACGTTCTTTTATTTTGTAAAATTGAAAAGTTCTTATAATATTTCGTTTATAATAAAACAAACTGTTTTATTAAATAAGATGATGTTATACATACTTCTAAAAGAATTAAATCTTTTTAAAGAAACATTGACTAGGTACTGCCCTGGAGAAAGCAGTAGAAGTAAGTGGTACTAGTAGCGCCAATAGTGTGAAGTCTCTGATAAACAAACTCAAGAATCTAAAGGGAAGAACATCTTGAAATAATAGTGTTTTTAGTGCACAATATTCATTGTTAAGCACTAAATCTAAGTGATCTTGAATAAGTGCAAATACCAAAGAGGAAATTAAAAATAAGATAGTAAAATGGGTAGTACGGATAAAGCTGTAATTACAGGTTTCATATGCAGACTCTGCAGTAAAATGAACCGTTTCGTGATCCACATTTACGGTGAAGAGGGTGAAAGAATGAAACTCGCAGAAAAGATCAATGCTTATCTCCCAATTACGGTAAGAATATATATTTATTTTTATAAATTTTGTTTACTTCTTTTCTAATCAATTTATTTGTCATGGAAGTTAATGTAAAATCCTATTATTAAAACATTTTTCTCTATATAATAGAATGATATTGTACATAGATACATTTTGTTCCACATTAAAATGACAGCATGAGTAGTAATAATTTTATACCACAATGAATTTATATTATATTTATTTTCAATAAAAAAAAACTTTGTATCAGTATTGCCTATGTTGTATATATAGAGAAATCTATATCATAGCGAATTCTTCTATACTTGCATTTGGAACGTGTTAAATATATATAACATATATAGGGCACCTTTAAAAAAAATCAAACTTTCTAATTTTTTATTATATTATTGATTTAATAATTTGTTAAAAAATTGCTTGAAATGTACACGATTATTGTTATTGCATATATTTTGTATACAGGTAAATATGAATGATCCGCTACCCAAAACTGCATGTCTACATTGTATTGAACGATTGGAAGCACACCACGAACTAATGAAACAGTTCATGTTTGCTAGGCGGAGGTTACCTACTGAAAATAAAACCTCAGCAGTGGCATCTTCTTCTACAGCAACTATTGATGCTGCACCAACGTCTAGCCCTCCTCCATGTTGACATGTACAATCATGATAATCCCTTTTTTTTGCAACACTGAGTATCTCTTGAGTTTTATCCATATCATTTCCTCGCAAAATCGTTATTAAGGTATAAAACTGTTAGGTAAAAGGTGTGAATTAAGTAGAACAATTTAATATCTTCATATAATCTACTTGAAAAGAAATTTTTAATAGGATAGCCAAATATTGTCTTAGTAGACTGAAATTTGTAATATTGCAAAATTTGTTAATTACTTTTCAGTATCCCAAATGTTATACTTCGATACTTTAGATGCAATTATTATTTGACAACAAAAATAATTTTTTATTTATGTGCTATATATATTAAACCTTTTATTAAGTACAATTATATTGTATAAAGTAGACTTTGGGTTGATGATCATATAATCTAATAACTTCTAAGAAGAAATTATATCTTGGATAGTATCTTTTGTGAAAACATAATAATATTTAAATACTTTAATGGATGTTTTATTCTATACTATCATACTTTAAAAAAATTATCATAGTATCTTTAATAATTTCATATATATATGAATGTTTATACATTTATTTTATAATAAATTATTTCTTCAGAATATTACACAAAAACTGTTGAGTCAATAGAAATGTAGAAATTTGTATACTTATATGCTTATTTCATAATAATCTATAATAATTGAAAAATAGTAAAATTCATGAAAAGTAACACATCTTCCATTAAAACAAAAATGAAGAAAAATATCAATAAATCGGTCATTTAAAATAGTGATGGGACACGTATTGCAATCATTGTATATTTACATTATATACATCGTATTATTCAATCCCACTGATTTTTAAAAATCAGCAGATGAATGTTATATAAAAGCATTACATCTGCAGAGATATGCATATAAAAAAATATTTGTATATTATGTTAACATAATATTATGTATTTTTATGTAATATTTTTAAAGAGTTTTAATATTCCTTTTTCTCTCTAAGCAATGATATAATAAACAATCTTTACAAAATTTAACTGCGCACTTATTATGTCAGTTGTTTTGTATTATCAAATATTTCATTAATAAAATATATATTTGTGTAAGCAGTATAAATAATAAGGGAAACGATCTTCACATAATTTTTGTATGATAAGATTTATTTGTTAACAATGTATGCTAACACAATTAAATGTTATGTGGAACAATATTAATGAATCGCGTCACAATACACATTGTGCTTTCTATATGTATTATTTCACATATAACGTTGTATAATTTACAAGGAAGATAAGTGTTTTTATAGTAGGTAAGGATGTAATCATCACTCAATTTTTACTTATTGTACTTGGTATAATATAGAAACAATTTAAATTTAAGTATTTGTTTAATAATTTTTACATAATATCAAATAATTTTAGAGAAGTAGATCAATATAATTCAATTTAATCCAAATTTTATTTAACTTGATTAATTCATTGTGTTTACGCAGGAAAATGGATAATTAAATATTTAAAATTTGATTTAGGAAATCTATTAATATCAACATTATATTAATAATTAATAAATTAATTGTAATAATTTTTTTCATTTAATATATAAATTATGTGCAGGAATAACAATTTTAATTCTACATATAATACAAAAACTTTTTTTCTTCAATAAGAATTGATCAATATCAATGATTATAATGTAATAGAGATAATTCATTTGATTAAATAATGCTGTAAATGTTTTTGACAATGTATGGCTCAAAATATATGCAGATAACATTATTAATACAGTAAATAAAAAAAACAAAAAAGGATTCATTTCCACAAAATTAACAAAATTTCTGGAACATTTTCAAGATGGTAATTATTGATACAATGAAATAAATAATGGCCTAATGATTTAAAAGTAATCTTTGTAATTTTTCATATAATATATCTTATACTATTCCATGCACAATAAAACATTCCCCTTTCATGATAGTAAAGTTATATTTACATACACATATGGCAGAAATACTACATACACAGTTTAAAGAATGTCTGATACTGTACAATATAGTATACAGGTATAACACAGTAGAATTGCAATCGAAAATTTTATATTAGACAAAGACATAAGTAAATAATGACTATATTTTTCATTTAATTTTACTATTTGGTTTATATAACATTGTTTCTCATGTATATAATAGTCCAACAAGTAAAGGCAAAATGTGTTCCTGTGTACCAATAATAGGGATCTATATTTATATTATAATATTTATGATATATTATTTTTTAATATCAAAGTGTCTGTGTGTGTGTGTGTTTAGCATTAATTTTTTCAGAATAAACGATATTAACATAATATATTTATAATTATTTGTTAAATTAGAGATCTCTCTTGGTTCTGGCAAATGCAAATATTAAAACGAAAACAAAATTATTAATCATATTTTTTCACAAATTTGACCAAGTACATAAAACTCTACATAAGCAATGACATACATCCTTCCTTATTAAGTTAAACATATAGCAAATATTACTGCAAGATTTCTGAAACCATTTGACAGTAATGTGTAAACTCCTGTGCGATAAACAACTACATACTATAAACTGACTTATAAGTATACTCAATGCAAGCGATGTAAACTATGTACAAAGATTCAGAGAGTCTAACTCCCCACTTTCTTTCTATTTTCCCCAATCAGTGTGATCATTTCATCATTAAATATGTCCACAACTGATTTCTTATAAAAAATATATACTATATATCTATATAAAATTTCATTCTCTTTTCAGCCAACATGTTTCATACAAATTTAGCCCCATTCAAGGTTATTTGATTTGTGGTTCTGAGCTTACATAAGCTTAATCTTCGTTTTTTAATACATGAGGATACTTATATACTCAAATAAAAATATAAATGTGAGTATGTGCATTTTTAACCAATCATAAACAGTGACAATAAAGCTATAAATGACTAAAGTACAATGATAGTTACCAATTTTTCGTTTAGGAAATAAAAATTTTAGAGCTCATAGATATGTTGAGCTGCATTCATGACAAACTCTTAAAAAATTAAAAAAAATCATAAACATTAACTATATACTGTTGACATCCCGGTTTAAACAAAATACATGTACAATTTTTGTGTAAATACAAACAAATATTTTTATATCTTTATAAATAATATAAGATATTTATTCTCCTAAAATATATACATAATTTAAAATAATACATATCTCCCTTTGTCTAATATTGAAAATTATGCTGTACTTCATAAGTGTTGGCGATGCATACTTTCACTTATGTCTTGTAATTGTACAGCCGTACATTGCTTGGAATACGTTATTCATTATTATTCATTTAATGCATCAAGAATAACATCAAATTGTAATACATCTATTAAATAAAAAATTTAGATTGTACAAATTCTATTCCTGTTAAATATAATGTACATAGTTATATGCCAATAATGATATTACAAATTCTATTTACATTTTCTTCGCCATGAGACACAGCGCTTGTACTTATGAGATTAGAGGCATTTAATCGTCCTGAAAACAGCTCAACCACAATGGCACAAACACTGGACTCAAAAGCAAGATTTAATTTGCTAAGGAGAAACGTACCTCATATACATAAATGTATCCCCATACATCTTTATGTTCAAATTAGTAATGATTATTTTTAGATTATTTTTAAATAATAACACATTTGTGTGATATTTGTACTTCTCCTTTGAAATAATTAAATAACCAATCAAAAGAAAAATATTAATTAACAGCCCTATCGTGTGCTTGTTAAAAAAGTGTACAACAGAATGTATGTGTCAATATATATACCGTTTTTTAAATGTTATTTTATATCTAATCTTACATCTATATCTACAGTTTATATTAGTGGGGAAAGTTACCTAAGCAGTCCTAGGTAGACAGGTAAAAATTGTCATGAAATTTGCCGTGATTGCAGAGTGCCCATACTATAATCTTTGATCTTGTATGTGTATGTATACATGCATGCATGGATGTTTACATACACATTTATAAAAGACTTTAGTACATGGAGATATGCAGGTTGCTGTCAAACACAGCCCATCACGAACATGCTTGTTGCATCTCCGCTTTAGCTGCCTTTGTAGCTGAAAAGAATATATATGAACTATTTGCATAAATATTTGTCTTTTAAAAATAAAACTGTTTCATATTATTTATATCACTTACCTTCCCGTTCTCTTCTTCGTAATTTCTTTTTACGTCTCTCTATAGCAGCAAGTTCAACCTTTACAGCATTATATGTTTGGCGTAGTTCTGCTAATTTTTGTTGCAATACAGCTATCCTTTGGCTTCCATCCAATTCTGGACCTGTAATAAAATAATACATGAGATTTATATTTAACGTAAATTGCAGAAAGAATCTTATTATTTTTAATTTACCTAATTCCACATAGAAGTTGTATTTCACCTGTCTAGGTGATCTTGATGAGTAATTATTGAGATCTGTGACACTATTAATATTTGTGTGATTTGTAGATGTTGGGTTCACTAAACATAAATTAGATCCTTCGCTTGTATCATCACTATCACTTCCAGCACCATGTCTGGTATGTCGGCCACTTTGTCTGCCAGTTTTTTTAGGAGGATTACTCCCACATTCCGAATGTTTTCTATTTCTCTTTCGTTTCTTCGGACTTTGAGCGTCTTCCACAGATCGTTTTGCTATAGGAGGTTTTAATGCTCTATCTGCTGAATTTCGTTCTGAATTTGGTAATATATCATCTTCACTAAATCCTTGTCCCTTGCCAGCACTATCATTATCTGCTTCTGAACTATCTCGATTCAATTTCATATTATCTTCAGAGATTGGCGAGGAACCACCAGTTCTTTCCTCCCTAGGAGATCCAGAGATGTTCGAAATACTTGAATCTGGTGTTGTAGGAGGAGTATTATCCATTACAGGCGCTGCATCATTGCTTTCCCTTCTTTGTGCAGGCATAAGAGCTGGTAGATGTTGATGTTGTACTTGTTGCCGTAACCCAAGCGTAGGATTTTGTTGTATTGGTAATGCAGATGGAATTGATGTTTCAACAGGCTTTGGCAATGCCATACTAAGAGTAGCAACGGTATTACTAGTTGTGCTTTCACCAGAAGTTGGAGCACTTGCAAAAGGCATTTCCATTAAAACTATATTATTTTCATTAGTTTCAGCTTGTGGAGGTGAGCATGAAGGGCCTGCATTATCTTCCTCTATATTTTCAATAGCAGGAGCAGGTGAGCCAGGAATTTCTTCTTCGCAAAGTAAAGAATTAATTGTTTCACCTTCTTCATCTGTCTTAGCAATAGATATTGATTCTGATTTAAAATCAGGAATACATTCCTGTTGTTGAGGATTCAAATTTTGTACAGGTTTTGGTGTTTGCGTTTTTGGATATCGTTCTTGGTTATCTTGAAATTTATCTAATTCTACTCTCAATTTAGTATCAAAGTTTGATATAGGATCTTTTATATCTTGAGGTTCTTCATTGTCAATTACAAGTCTCTGTTCAGAATCGCTACTATCTGTTGAATCTACGATTTCTTGATTTACGACTTTCTTCCGCTTATCTTTTTCTCTTTCTTTTAAATCTTCTTCCTTAATATCTTCTTCTTTTATTATACTGCATCCTGTATTATCTTCATTCTTCCAATCATCATCTTTACTATCTTGTATTTTTCTTTGCTCAGTAACGATTTTTATTTCTGTAAATTTCTTTAGTTCGCATTCCTTCTTTAATTTTAATTGTTGAAGTTCTTCTTCTTTTTGCTTAATAACTACACGCATTACTTCTCTTCTTTGCTCTTCTTCTTTCACTAAAGTATCTTCTTCTCGTTTTTTATTATCTATTTCATGTTTGGAAGTAACCTGATCTTCCTTATTCTTATGCAAGACACTAGCATCTACTTTTTTGGTAACTTCTTTATTAATTTTTCGTATAGATTCAGGAACTTCATCTTCTTTTGGAGTTTCTTTTGTTTTATTTCTAAAAGCCATTGCAGCAGCTGATAGTTTTTCTTCTATTGTAGATGTGGCTGGAAGTCTTGCACTTATGGGAGCAGGTGTAACTACAACTGGTGATAAAATTGGCTGAATATTTAAAAGTTTGGCATCGAGTGTTCTTAATTCTGGAGATTGTCTAGATATAGGTGATGACTTTGCATTTTGTTTTTGTTCCAAAGCTCCTCCTGATTTATTCACAATAACTGATGTTAAATCGTCTCTTATTGGTTCAGGTTGAGTATTGGTTGTTTCCTTATCTAAATCAATTGTGTCAGTTAAATCAGACGCTGTAAACATTTCTTGATGATAAGTAAATAAACTTTCTTGTTCAGTTTCAGAAACTTCTGTTTCTGATATTATCAAACGATCTTCAGAGTCATCATGGGTACCATCATCGTCACCTGGTAAATCACTAAACAGAAGATCTATACTGTTAACTACTTTTCCAGCTTCTTCCAAAGTTGGTGATGGCTTATTGTGATTAAATGATGATGGAGGTACACAAAGTTTATCAAATGCTTCTTCACATGTTATATTTGTTGGTTGTAATGGCTTATTAAGGGATATTGTATCGTTAGAATCATCAGTTCGTTTACTAAATAATTTTCTGGTTTTCTTACGAGAATCATTGTCTGAATCAGATTTTGTATCTTTGGTTATTGGGCTTGTAACTGCTTTTTGTTTTTTCTTCGGACTTTTAGGTTCTTCTTCGAACATTCTTTTCTTCACTTTATCTTTATCCACATTTGTATCTCTTTTATTTCTAACTTCAAATTCAAAAGGTTCTGGTTCTTTAAATTCGTAAATATCTTCAGTATTATCTATAGGTTTTGGATCTGGAATGTTTTCTGTTTTTATTACTTCTACACTTTTCTCTATTTTCGAAGGAATTAAAGTAGACACATTTTCCTTTTCTTCTGTTTTAATACCATCTTCAGGATCTGGTTCAACTCGAACTAATTCTAATTTAACTGCTTTATCAAATCCTTTTAATTCAGATCTTATTTGATTCAGATCAAAATCTCTACCTTTTGGTTGTTCTTCATCACTATCAGGTTCAGATTTAACACCTTGTACCTTACCAAGTGTTCTTCTCAATCGACGACCTCTACGAGGTTCTTCTACATTATCTTTATCATCCTCTCCTTCACTAATATCATCAGTTTTAATTCTATCTTCTCGGTTTCTAACATCTCTTCGTTTTCTTTCCTCTGTTCCCTTTGATCTTGTTTTTGCTTGATCTGGTTCAGTAGTATCAGATTCATATGTTTCACTGTCTTCAGTTTCTGATGGAATTGATATGTCTGTATGACCTGATGTTCTTCTAGTACGTCTACGAGGTTCTATTCCAGGAAGATCTACGTTTTTGTTTGTTCTAGTTTGTCTGTTATTAGCTGGTGTTGCAGGACTTTTTGTTCTAGAACTGGTACTTGTTACTGATAATGGTGTGGTTGACCTAATGGGCTGTGTTATTTCTTTGTCCTTTTCTTTCTCTTCTTTTTTTATTTCTTTTGAGGATGTAGATGTAGTACTAGTTACAGGAACCACACTTTGTGCTCTACGACGATTTTGAGATGTATTTGGAGCGCCATTACCATTACTTTTTGAAGATTTATTGACATTACCAGAAATATTTGTACTAGGTGTTTGAGGACGGGGTGTGACTTTAATACGTTTTACTCTACCCTGAGCCTGAGTAAAATTTTGAGCAATTCTCGACGGCTTGATCCACTCGTCATATCTTGTATTCCACCCAGTATAATGTACAAGATACATTGGTTCTGTACCATCTTTTTCCATATCAATAATCTTCGCTTCATATGTAACTTTAGATTCGTGCGTTGGTCCATAATAAACTTTTAATCTATCACCTAATTCCACCGGGCCTTTATAACAAGGTGCTGATTCTGCTGGTTGTTCATCATTCCTTGATTTTTCAACTTCATACTCTTTACGTTTCCTACCACGTCGTTTTAATTCCTCATCTGTTAAACGTCTTTGCTTTGTCAAAGCTCTTCTTTCAGATTCTCTGGATGGGGTTCGTGTTTCCCTTGCCTCAGAAGCTTTATTTTTCACTGTATCATCCTTAGATTTAGATCTTGTTTTAGCAGCCTCTTCTTCTTTAACTTTTTCATCTTTTTTATCTTGTTTTTTAATTTCATTTTTTTTCTTTTCTACAATTTTTTTTTTTATGTCGTCTTTACTTTTTGACTTAGCTCTACTTGGTAATGATGCAATTTGAGGAGAAATTTTTGGAGATTTCTCACTACTAGAAGTTTCTGGATCTGCTTCAACGTTTATATCACTTTCTTGTCCACTTCCAACTTCTTCTAAATCATCTTTCTTCTTTAACTTTGATTCATCTTCTTTTAACTGTTCCTTTTTTATTTCTTTTTTATCTTTCTTCTCATCTTCTTGTGATTTTTTCTCATCTTCCTCTTTCTCATTCTTTGGTACTGGAGCCGGTGGTGGAATAGGAGTATTTCTGTCTTTATCTCTAATCAGACTTCTGCCAGGACGTTGTTTCCGTGTACTACCTCTTGGATGGTTCACCATAGTACAACCTAACTTTCTATAAAAATCTTCAAAAGAATGTAAAAATTTTTTATATGCTTGTTTCACCAAATTGTGCGTAGATGGTGAATTTTGCATTGAAAAGCTTAAACGACGTGTTATCGATTTCCATTGATTTTGATTTGTAACACGATTGTAACCACCTAATTTGTAAACTGCTCGAAATAATCTATATAAATCTATGTCTTCAGTGCCAATCATTGGACAATTATTTATTGGTGTTCCTCTATCATCCATAAATTTATACAATTGTGCCACAAAATGATCTTTTTCCTCACGTGGTTCATCATCTGAACTCTATAAAAATATATTATATGTTATATATTATACTATATACACTACAAATTTTAAATAGTATAAATAAGTAATTAAATACAACACTCACATCGGAGTCCAATTCTCTATCAGAATCACTATTACCGCTAGAAACAGAATTCCCAAATAAAGAATCTCTATCCCAATGTGGTGGCAATTCATTTTTTTCTAGAAATAACAATGCTTTTTCAACTGCGACTTTCAATGTACTGTTTTCAACTTTATTGACCAATTCCTTAGTAAATTCAGTTGCTTCCTTTTTCGGCACTGTATAGCTATAAATGTGAGAAATATAATAATAATAATAATAATAATAATAATAATAATAATAATAATAATAATAATAATAATAATAATAAAAATAAAAATAAAAATAAAAATAAAAATAAAAAAATAATAATAAAAATAAAAATAAAAATAATAAAAATAAAAATAAAAAAAAAATAATAAAAATAAAAAAATAATAAAAATAAAAATAAAAAAAATAAAAATAATAATAATAATAATGACAATAATACACACACACACATACAGAGCGAGAGAGGAGGGAGGGGGGAGGGAGAGAGAGGGGGAGGGAGAGAGAGGGGGGAGGGAGAGAGAGAGAGAGAGAGAGAGAGAGAGAGAGAGAGAGAGAGAGAGAGAGAGAGAGAGAGAGAGAGAGAGAGAGAATGTTCCGGTAAAAGTGATACAACCAAGCAAGGAGTGATTCCTCATGAAAAAGTAAATGTATAATGTAGAGTACAGTTTTTACATATAAAGTTCCATTTTCGAAATAACTAACTTTTAAAATCTATTCAATACATTTGTACTTACTATTTAAAACAGACTGCAAGAACTATTTTCTAAAAGATTTCATTCTACTCTTACAATCACATGTCGATCATAATGATGGCGATTTGGATAGCGTTCTTGATACAAACGACTATCGTGAAAGCATTGCATGATGCTAAATAGAAGATCATGTCTACGTACTTTCGCGTAGTATATCTTAACGTCATTATGGATCAAAAGAGACAACTGTTATAGTACCATAGTAGCAACAAGAGGAAGCAGATAATAGCACTGCTTATGTTTATAAACACAAACTATACTTTACATTTTCGACTTATTTTTTCACAAGGAATCACTCCCTTGGTTGTATCAGTGTACTGTAATACTTCGTATATATGTCATTCTATTGGCAAAATCATTTATCACTTTAAAACTCAATCGATTTTTTTAAATAAATAATTAAATAAATTGAAAGATAAATCATATGTTGTTACACTTAATTAATAAAAGAATTTAACTTGTTACTCAAAATTATCTTAACCCTCTATAGTGCATTGAAACTTTAAAGTCACATACACATCAGTATTTTTAAGTCTTATTTTACTTTATCACCATAAGATACATTATCTTATGGTTATATTATTCTTTCATAATCAAAGAAGTTTGTGACAATTTGCAATTTCTACTTATCAAATCAGAATGCGTACTATTTAAATTTGTTTTGATAGATAGTGATTACTTCATGCGAATATTATACTGTTTTTTATTGTTTCATTATTTCAATAAGCAAAAAAGAGCTATATAATAATTAAAAAAGTTTATATAATAATTGTCTTTTCTTTCCATTACATTTATGTAATGAATTTGTTGCTATTTCCATATAATGTAGCTTTTGTATCACATCTAGCTTTAACAATAACATATAGACTTGAAATATACAAACCGAAACATTGAACAAAAAATTTGAAACGAGAAAAATAAGAAATATTAATAAAGATAAATAGTAAGACAACCAATACTATTTATTCAACGCAACCAATATTATTTATTCAACGTTGTATAAATAAAATGTGTATGTGCAAAGGGATGAAATAGCTTATTTGTTGATCTTTTCCGATAAGATCGGGCATTGTAAAATGTCAGTGTGTAAAGATGTTCCTAAAATAAAATGTTTCAAATATAATATCAAATTCCAAATGCAAATTGTTTTACAAACATCTATATATAAAATTAAATTACATGTATGTACAAATACAGTAGCCCATTGTGACTTCAAAGTAACAGGCCATTTCTTTTTTAAATAAAATATTAAAAAATTGTAAATTAATCGTCGATTCATATCCAAAGATTAATATTTGCTAATTTCATATTGTATAATTTTTTTCTTAATAGGAAAATTATTTAAAGATGGTTAAAAACTCTATTATTCAGTTTCAGATATTCTAAAATTGTCAACATGTTTTATTATTCTATTAAATAGGTACTACTTACTATCTTGCATCTTTGAATGAACGCACCAAGTAATCATCTCTTACTCTAATTCGTACGGTATCTTGAGCAGTAGGAGCTACTACTAATCCTGGAAACCAATTATCTTTTTTCTTCTTGTCTCCCAATTCAACACAAACAACTCGTCCAATTTCAGGTTCTGTTTCAACACCTTCCTTTCCTCCCATATTAGAAGCAGAATCACGATTTCCTCTTGGAGGACTATCTTCATCATCACTACTTTCATCTCTATAATACAAATCATAAAATAGTTCTATACATACATACATACATACATACATACATACATACATACATACATACATACATACATACATACACATATACATACACACACACACACACACGCACGCACGCACGCACGTACGCACGCACGCACACACAACTGAGGTCTATTTTCTTAAAATTAAATGAAATATCATATACATGACACATCAATTATATGTATGCATGGTATATATGCTTGTTACTAAGCATAGAACTTTGCAATAACTTTTCTTGTTAAATCTTATCGAGCCTACATACTGAGCTTGCCTTGACCGTCTTCCTCTCCTTCCTCCTATAACAGGATTTCCAAAATGTTCAGGATGTGTTAAGGGAAGTTGGTCCAATGTTTCACTTTCTGCAAAATGTCGTCCACTCTTTAAACAAAGAGCAGTTCTTCTTAAAGTAGTAATATCTCCATCATCAAAAACTACAGTATATTGACTGCAGTCTTGTATTTTGGTAATGGTAGCTTCTACAAATTCTTTCTTATCACTATGTCTTGCTTCCACCGAGGCACCAACTCTTAAAGTCCCCCTTATCTGATCATCAGTAACTGTAGCGGTGCCTAATCCTTGTTTATAAGTTACTCGACATTTCACAGATCTTACTACCTTCCGAATCTTTGCTTCACAGAAGGCACCTTTGTACTTAGCACTAACCTCCGTACCTACTGACAGGTACGGCGGATCGTCCCCCTACAATAAATTATAGTTAATTTAAATACAGAATAACAATAAAATAATAATATTCATTTGAATATTACAATTGTTGGATTGTATAAAATAAATACATATATATGTATGCAGTTTGACATGTTATTAAATTCTCAATGACAATTATTGAAAATAAGACAATGTATAAAAACATCTAATAAGGCACGCTTTTGAAACTTTCCAAAATATATATTACGCTCGCGCGCGTATGCATATATACATGCACAAATGCTTGCGTCGTCAAGTATGCGCGCGCGCGCGCGCGCAAATATATACACACATTCTTCCGTCATAATTGGTTGAATTATCAAAAGCGGTAAAACAAATATTTCTAACATAAAGTAAACAAAAGAAAAAATAAGCGAAATATCGATCTCAATTGTCATTGTTTACGTCAACAATTATTTTTTTGTAGGAATTAGGAAGTAACTTCTCTTAACAAGAAGGAAGATACTTTACGTCGTGATCAACGAAAGTTTCTTGGGTGTATATATTTTTAGTCAAAAGATCATAATTTCATATCTTTAAGGTAGATTTATAATAAGAAAAAATACTACCATTCGTGACAGTTTACTACTTTCTCAAATATCGCAAAATAATTGTAACCTCGAAGAAGATACTGAGCTAAGACATATGTGGAGAAAGAAAGAAGGATATGAGGAATAAGATCGTAATTGTATAATCACGAAAAGTATTTCTAATCCTATCAGAAAAGCATGATGTAAAGAAGAGTTAAAAAAACGAAAAGAAGAAAAAGATAGATCGCAGTATATGCGATGTTCATACACTTGTCGTAACATGAAACTCTTTTCTCCCGCCTGTTTGCTTACCAGCATCTTCTAACGTTTTACAATCACCATGTAAACAATCTTTGACCACTGATACTCGCGGCACATTAAAAATAATTACGTATCCCGTTTTCACAGACGAGAATCATAAATGAAATTTAGTGTATGAGGAGTAGTTGATGACCCCCTTCAAGAAAGCAACACTTCACGGCACGAATGCGTACAAGCTCCCGTTCCCTGCCCATTTCCACCCCGACGCAACTTGTCAGCTATACTCGCTCCTTATTGGACGACACTTTTTTATCCGTGTGACAACAACTGAACGAAGGCATGAATTCGAATTTATTCTTAAGTTTAAATATTATGAATTATTTTATTAGATATATTCGCCCTTGATAAAAATAGAATTTTTTACAGCAATATTGAAATAAATAAATATATTTAACACGAGATAAAACGAATATCCGGATGACCGCACTGCGCATCCGGCAGGGACGTATCAAATGATTCTTTACTGTTGAGAATCGTACCTTCCAGGACATTTCGTCATTCCGTTTTTCGTGATAATCATTTTTACCATTTGTATGTTCCTTTTGTATAGTCTCTTGTATTAAATGATAAAAAAATCAATGTAAGATTATATTTAACAAAGAATTGACGTTATCCATTATTGAAAGATATATTATTGTTAAATGTAACAGTTGCATAAAAAAAGTTCAACATCAATTTTGGAGCAGATTGAAAATTGAAATAATGTGGAATATTAATGTATAGAAATATAGTTGTAAAGTGTGTGTTATTTCGAAAAAATAGTTATTACAATATTAAATGGTAATCTACTATTTATGTTATTATTATATATTGCGTTTTACAAAGATAATCTACACTCCATTTTCATAAGGTGTTGAATTGCTTTTCATACTTAATAAGCTTTTATTGATAATAATTATTCAGCTATATGCATTGTTATTAAATAACATCACTTTTTAAATTCTGATTGTAATTTGTCTTTATTCGATTAATAGTACTTAAATTTACCCGTTATGTCCACGGTTGCATACGTTCCTGAAGCTAGTCGTCTGCTGTGACGCGGAACAAAATGGCGGCAGCTAATGAAGTGCCGGTAGAAATTAACCAGAGTGGCATGTGTACAACGGAAAATCAGGTAAGCTTAGATGAATAATTTTTTTAATAAAATCAGGAAAATGCTTAAAAGAAATCTGTTACGTAAGATATTGTAGTAAGAAATATATTTATTACTTCGACTGGTAAGAAATGCTATTGTTATATATACTAATTATTTTTACTGCGGTTCGCATCAATGAATTACAGCAAATACATTATTGAATGTATTGTTATTTCTAAAATTGGCTTCTAGGCGATAATATTAAAATATCATAAATAATATTTTCGCATTGTTTCAAATTAATTGAACCACGTTCATCACTGTACTGGCGTTGCTATACAATTTATAACATGAATTATATGCGTATGTGATGTGCAATATTCATAGATAATTCGGTCTCCAAAAGACGCCATTCATTTTGGCGGGCACGTGCATCTTCTTCTTAGATTGTACAAAGTAGTTTCTTACATTTTTATCGTTTTTATTGCATAATTATTCATCATAAATGAATAATATTTTAAATAATATTTATACTATATATTTTACATAGCTGTATTTTATATACATATATATATATATACCAATATATTTATATAAGATTTAATTATTTATATTTGTAGCAGAATAAAATATACTTTGTAAAAAGTATACATCACATGGTTTAAATTAATATTTAATTTCATTAATATATTTCCAAATTAATCTATGAACTTCTTATTATTACTAATAAAAATTATCTGTTATTTGTAAGAACAATTATTTTATTTAAAAAAAGATTAAAAAGTATAAAATAACCAATTTATTATATTTTGAAAATAGTAGAATTTTATCAATTATTTTATAATGAGATCGTGTTGGAATTTTTTATAGATGTATATTTTTTACTTGTATAGTTAATAAAATTTGTGTAAAATAGGACCTAATTTATAATGCTATAATGTATGTCATAATTAATGATTACAGACTTCAAAAATGGAATCAATGGATGTTGGAGAATCAGCTCCTGTACCAGCTACAAATGCTAGTGTACCACCATGCAAAGAATCTGTATCTGTTGAAGATATGACATCCAGAGATTATTATTTTGACTCTTATGCTCATTATGGAATTCATGAAGAAATGTTAAAGGATGAAGTACGGACAATGACATACCGTAACTCCATGTATCACAATAAACATCTTTTTAAAGGAAAAACAGTTCTTGATATAGGTTGTGGTACAGGTATATTATCCATGTTTGCAGCAAAAGCCGGAGCTGCCAGAGTGATTGGAATAGAATGTTCCAATATTGTTGAATATGCAGAAAAGATAGTAGAAGCTAATCAGCTTTCAAATGTTATAACAATTTTGAAAGGCAAAGTTGAAGAAGTTTCTTTACCTGATGGTATAGAAAAAGTTGATATTATTATATCTGAGTGGATGGGTTATTGTTTATTTTATGAATCTATGCTGGATACGGTGCTTTTTGCTAGAGATAAGTGGCTTCGTGAAGATGGAATGTTATTTCCTGACAAAGCAACTTTATTTATATGTGGCATCGAAGATAGACAATATAAAGATGAAAAAATAAATTGGTGGGATGATGTGTACGGCTTTGATATGAGTAGTATAAGGAAAGTAGCCATTAGCGAACCGCTGGTGGATATTGTAGATCCAAAACAAGTTGTTACAAATGCATGTCTTATCAAAGAAGTTGATCTATATACTGTAACAAAAGCAGATTTAGAATTTTCATCACCATTTACTCTTCAAGTTCGTAGAAATGATTATGTTCAAGCACTAGTTACATTCTTTAATATTGAATTCACTAAGTGCCACAAACGGATTGGCTTTAGTACAGCGCCTGAAGTGCAGTACACACACTGGAAGCAGACAGTGTTCTATTTTGATGAATATATGACAGTGAAGAAAGGAGAAGAAATATATGGTGTATTTTCCATGAAGCCCAATGCAAGAAATTATAGAGATCTGGATTTCAGTATTGAGTTGGACTTCAAAGGAGATTTGTGCGAAATTCATGAAACAAATACGTATCGTATGCGCTGATATCCGTGAGCTTCTATATCCTTCTTTTACTACAATAGTTCTTCAGACTGTTTAGTGAAATCTGAACTTAAAACCCTTTTATTATTATTGAATTGTGCTAATCATCTACCATATTTAACAGTACGGTACAAGTACGGTAAAATATATTTTACTCTTTTTTTACGACCAATAAAATCTAATAAAATGGTGTCATTTTTACACATTTGTATGCTTTATTTCTCTATAATATTATAAAATATAAGACGCTGAATAGATCTATATGTAGCATTATTTTTTACATAATACATATTCTTGTACCGTATTATCAAAAGTATTTTTTAAAAATGTGTTAAAAATTTTGAGCTCTTACTGAACAATATGTTACTAGATATTACTGTTACAAATGCTTATGTTTCTGAAAATACTTAAAAATTTCAATCATCCAATAAGTCAATATACAATGTACATAGAAAGAATATTTCACTAAAATATTCTTCTGTTTTTCTTTTTATTTTTTGCCAAGATTGCCATGCGTATGTATGACTTTCATATGAATAATATTTATGTGTAATGATTCATCAGAAAAAAGCATACAAACATATAATCAGATAGAAAATGAATTTTCATGCATAATAAAAAACAAAAAATCTGTATTAAATATTTTATAGTAAGCAAACACATAAAGACAAAGTGTAATTCGTCTTTGTGATATTCAATAAATTATAATTGTGCGTGAAAATTCTAACGTTCTAGTATAGCCTTTGAATTATGTACTAATAATGAAATTCCCTAAATCAAATTTTCTGTTTTTTGTTTATTCCATTTGTATCACCATTGTTTGGATGCTTCCGTTTAAGTAAATAAGTTACTCAAAATGAGTAAACACTAATAATGTGGAATTAATATATTTATTAAGTATACGCGTCAATATACAAAACACGTGTGATCATTTTTAATACATTAATATTCATCTCTTGATTCGACTTAATTTTTAAGAGAGAGATAGAGATGTCATATATTACATTACTTATTACAATATTACTCAATATAAAGCAATTTAGTGTTAATAAAATTTAAAATTTGTTTTAATGTTTACTGCACTATTATGAAAGATGATATAATTTTATATTTTACATTCTTTTAGTTAGATATTGGAACTAAATCAATGTATAAATTTCATGTGCAATGGTGTAAATGAAAATTTTTTCTAATATAATTGAAGCGGAAGCATGTTCTTATCCTATACTTAGTTATGTCATGTACATAATTAAAAGAGATGAAAGAAATAATGAGCCCTAGAAAGGAAGTTTCTTTATGACAATTATTATACATTAATAAATTGTTAGTATACATTTGCTATAAAAGGAATATACTTTTACTAATTTCAATTTAACATAGAATGTCATATGTTTAAATATTTTTTACTTTTTACTTAAAATATCAAAAAGGTCAATTTATTTTACAATATGTGGTATATACTTAAAGAAAGAGAAAGAGACACATGTATGTTACTATTTACAAATAACAATTCCTTTTTGCATACATATTTCATTTTACATGATAATCTTATGGCCAATCATTGTTAATTTTATATCTGTAAAAGGAAAAAAGATAGTAATTGCATACAATCAACATTACACATATTTTACACTATATTATTCAAAATACTCAACAGTATTGAACATTATTCAAAATTTGTATGGATAAAATATACTATCACGTTGCAAGGCCTTTTAGACAATTGGCTAATTTCTGAGTTTTGTAGTCTGTCCTCAATTGAATGAAGTTAAGTAAAACTGAACGATCAAGTACAGCCTAAAACGATTATAGAAATGATTATAGATTATCTGTGATATGTATTTTCTAAAATATTACATATAGTTATAAATAAGAAAAAGATATACCAATTGATCTCCTGAGCACACTTGTTTCAAATTTTCTGGTTTTACTAAAAGTAAATTGCATAATGCATGCAATGTATCAAATGATGATGTAACAACATCAACGTCAAGTTCTTTAACACATTTTCTATATTCATTCATATCACATATTGCACACATTGCACCAGCAGAATTAAATAGAAATTGTTGTAAATGATCATAAATTACTTTATGAAATCGAACTCCAAGTTCTGTTAAAGCAGTTTCTAAATTCTTCCCATCTAGGGTATTTCTAATGTGACGTATCATTCCCGTTACATATTGCACTACTGTCAGACAAGCTGAAGTACTTAAAGTATCTACATCAGTATCAGGTTTAAAATCAGTTTTTTTCTGTTCATTTTGTAAGTAAATCTTAACCCAGCCAACAATGGCACTTATACTTCTTTCTAAACCTGTATCTAGTTTCATATCAATTTGATCTAATACAACTTTTTTCTTTAACATACAATCTCCATGTTTTGCTGTACCCCTGAAAAAATAATATTAAGTTAAAATTCAATTAATATATTTTTTTTGTATATTATATAATTATTAAAATTTAATAGAGAAAAAGAGAAAGAGAAATTTACATGATGAGAGGAAGCACACTATCATTAAATTGTTCTTCCAAAAGACGAACTATTGCATTGCATTGATGCATGACATTGAAAAAATGTATTTCTGGTTGAGTTCTACTTTCTGGTATTGGTACACTTTGTAATCCTAACTCTAATGCATAATCAACATGTTCATTTATCAAATATTGTAACAATGTTTCAAAAATTTGAGCTGCATTTACAGATAAATCATTTAGCTGTGATAATAATTGACATCTTTGAAAAGCCATTTTACTTCTTTGTAAAAGTGCAATAGCTAATTCTTCTGAAAGAAATGTTTCTCCACCATAATCTTCTATTTGAGCAATATTTATGTTTGTTCTTGCTGCAAGTGCAGCTTGTAAATCACGACGTAATTCTTGAAAACCACCAGTTTGTAGTTGCTTTTTTTGATGATTTTTGGATTCATAATATTCAATTAATAAAGCTGCTGATTTTTCCCGCAATGCTTTCATCTCAGTGCTAAAACATTAAATGGATTAATTATTTGTAAATTCAGAACATTGTCCAAAATATAAACTTACGTGATGTAAGTATCTAAATATTTTTGAAATATATTTCTAGTTAATTTTTTAAGGTAACTATCATCAGTACCCATATTAAACATTTTCAATTCATTTGATAATTTCACTGTTCTTCCATATAAATCATGCAAATTTCTAAGATATTTGTCAGAATCAGTTTTATCAGCCAGTTTAGCAACAGCATATTTTTGAAGTCGTAGATGGTAAATATTTAGGACAAATTTTGCCATTACTTGCTCTGGATTAGAAAATACTTGTTCCATTAATTTATTGTATTTTGTACACATGGGTATCACATCTTGAAAAACGTCTTTTCCACCAAATGAACCCATTTGGCTTTGTTCTATAAATGCATCAATGCATTGTGAATAACCTTTAAATTGAGATAATACAGATGCTAATTCTTTCATTCGAACTGCATCTTCTCTACTATGTGCTTGAACAAATTCTTCTATCAGATTACGCTCGATTTCATCATATTTAACGCTTATCTTTTTCTTTGCATGTTCAAATTTTTCTGCAGGTAACTCTTGAGCAATGAGATGTAATTTCTGAATTACATCTGCTGCCTCATCTAACTAAAATAAAAAAAGAATTTAATAATTTACTTTCTAAAGCACTTTTGTTCTCTAAGCATAATATTCTTACTGAAGTTTTATCTGTAAAAATTGGATCAGTTAAAGGTCCAGGACTTAAGAATTCTGAAAAGTGTCGCATAAGTTTTTGAGCTTCAACTGCTCTAGCTCTTGGTATATTAACACTTTCTAATTGATCTCCTAAATGAAGAACTTTGGTAGCAACAGAATTTATTCTTTCGTCTAACTGATGAAATAAGTCAATCGAATGTTTATTTCTTTCTTGTAAATCTAATATTTCAAGCGCATGTCTGGCTTCTTCATCTTTTAAGCCAGCTTCAAGCTTGTCACATTTTTTCTGCTGACGTTCTTGTAAAATTTGTAAATCCTTAATAGCTTGTAAGAAAGTCTCATGTACAATGACAGGATCAAAAAATGCTTTGCCTCCATCTTTTGTTTTATCATTAACAGTTCTCCAAGCTAGTCGTTCAACAAATTCTTCAGGATCAAAAGGCTCCTAGAAAAATTATTAACATGATAACATATTACATCGTAATATATACATATTTATACACACACATATGTATATATAATCTCAAACTTACTTGTTCCAATTCTTTCATATATTGTTGCATCATTTTGAAAAACTTCTTTAAATTTACGAATAAATTATAATGTATTTATATATAATAATAATACTATTATATGAGAATAAGGTTAGAAATAAAATTGAGTTACTTTATAATGTTTGAATAAAAATATACAAATATACGATTTATTATTCTCCTGATAGAATAAATGACATATGGTAAACTAAATATATAATGATTTAGTACGTATTTATTCTATTATAATTACAGTAACATCAATGCTGCTCAAATAAACACTTTATAATCACCGCCTGAATTCTGACCAATTAACGCAAGTTCTTATTTATTCGTAAATTTTTATTTACATTGAACGTCATTTAACGAAATATTTTATAAATGTATAATATTTTAATATATTATAATTTATCAAAATTTATATTACATAACATTAATTATATGATATTATAAATCATAACTTTCAAGACCTAATGATATCTAATCAAGAGCATAAAATCTCTATTATGACAGATACTCTGCGATTTTAGTTTTGTACATGCAAAGCACTGTAAAAGTCAGGTCACGTTACATATATATATTTGGATTGCTTACAATTTAAATCTTATTTATTAAAGACTCTTTATATAATTTTATAAAAAAAAAAATTTGAAAAAGAAGAATAGCAAATTATCAGTAATGTGAATATTTTCCATCCTACAAATATTTATTGTGAAAATATCGTACAATAAAAGGCAAAGTTGATATTGTAGATTTCTATAAATTGTGATAAAGTAAATCTCTATTACCATCAAAATTTTTTAACGAAAAATTTCATATGAATTGTAGAATCTATAAGATTCATATTCCTTGACTCAGATTTGTTTTTGACATATCCAATGTTATATGATATACTACAATGGAAATCTTTTGAAACTTGTTTTATTTTGTATGTTTTAGTTAAAAATCTAAAATATCGAAAATGAGTTCAAAGGATAAAGATAATAAAACTTTACACGATAAATTGAAGCAATTCTTTCGTATTAATAAAGGTAAATTAAGCTCGAATATTATTTAAAATTTTTAATTCTGAACAAGTTTTCTAAATTCATTTATTTATTAATATAAATCAATATTTTTAATATACTTGTTAATTTATTACGAAATTTAATCTCATAATTTATAAATTGTTAAAATATATATAGACTTTTTTTAATAATACAGGCATTTAATTACATGTTATAATTTTTTGTGAAAGTACTTGTAACTATTATAAATATTTCAATTAATGTACATTAATAATATATGCTTTTTTACCATATTATTTTTTAGGAAATTATAAAAGTCGTGAAGATTTTACATTGTCACATGACATTGAAAAAGAAATTAGTCCTGATAGTCCAGTACATCATCGTACAAAAGTTATTAAAGATTTGTGTGATGCAGTACTTAATCAACAATGGGAAGATGTATATATATATATATTATTGTTATTTGTCAAATAATTTATATATTTAAATAGTAAAAATTTATTACATATATATGTTATTATTTTCTATTAGAGAGCAGCTGAACGTTTATGGAATTTAGTTCAAGATTTATTGGGAAAGGATATACCACGTGAACATAGACATGTAACATTAAATTTTTTAAAATGTCTTGTGCAAGGGCAATATTCCAAATTATCTTCTTTAATGCGAGTAAAATTTTTTATGGTAGTAAAAGATCATAATATTCCTGAAGACATTGGTCCTAGGTAATATAATTGATTTTGGATTTAATTTTTTTTTTTTATTTATTTATTATAACAAAAGACTAGAATTATATATAAATAAATTATTTAAATGAATGTATATTAGGTTAGAATTGCTCCAAAGTTTAACAGAAAATGGAAAAGATATTTTACATTTGGAGGAAAGAATGGGCCCATTTGTATTAGAATGGCTCCCAACAGTAACTAATGATGATGGTAAACGGGGTGCTGAATTTCTATCACTCTTAGTTAACATTATAAAGTTTAATTCTGCTTACATCGATGAACATATTATTTCGGGTCTTATTCAGTAAATATGATAATATTTTCATTAGTAAAATTTATTTTCTATAATATTTTATAGAAAATTTCTTTAATTTGTACATTTCAGGTGTATTTGTCATCTTTGTTATTATAGTAATAACACGGATGTAGTCTCAGGATGCTTAGAAGTTCTCGATGCAATTGTATGCTACAATAATTTACAATCAGATTCATTACAGATGTTTATTATAGCATTATGTAGAAGTGTTAATGTTGAAACATATTGTCAGATAAGCTGGAAAGTATGTAGTATAATAAATTTATTTTTATTTCTTTCTTTAAAACTATTATATATACAAGAATTATATATTATTTACCAATATATATATTTAATGCAGATAATGAGAAATTTGTTGGGTACTCATATGGGACATTCTGCATTATATACAATGTGTCGTTTGTTGCAAGATACAAATTATCAACGTGATGTACGGCTCCTTAGAGGTGCTGTTTTTTATGTTAATATGGGATTATGGGGTACACATCGAATTCCTAAATTAGTTTGTACACCAACATCAGTTTTGCCTTCATTTCATCAGGTAAATATGTCGTAGATAATTTTAAGAATTGTTACTGTACACTTAAAAAGTATAACTATCTTTCCAAGGCTCTACAATGCAATCATCCAATTGTTATGTATGAAGTTACATTATCAATTCAAAGATTAGTGAATAAATGTGGTGCTGAACTTCATGAACCTACATGGAGTATTATTCTTGATATCATAGAAGAAATAATAGTACATACTGGTAATTTATATATCATGCGTGAATGTTTATAATTTTTTATTTACAAAAAAGGACAAATTAGAACTTGATATATTATTTGTTCAGAAACTAGTAATCAACCAGCCACAAAACAAGTATCAATAAGTTTGCATGAAACAATAAATAATATTGAAAATCTACTTGATATTAATCATTACAATGGTTATGTACAAAGATTTTATAATCTTGTAGAACGTTGTAGTAATGTACGCTCTGTAAGTATGCACATGTGAGATAATATTTCAAGGTAAAGTTCAAATTATATACTTATTTTTAATTATATTTTTTAGGAATCTTCAGTTTTAAAATTAATCGAATATAGAGCTTCTAGAATAAATCCTATGCATCATCATTGGCAATCTCGACTATTATCATTAATGGAACTTTATTATAAAACTGATACACGTACTAATATAAGAGTAAAAGCTCTTGATGTATTAGGAAATGTCATTCAAGTTAATAGGTATTATTAATTTTTATATTTATGAAATATTGAATAGAGCAATGTATTTTGTATTTTTAGGTCACAATATGAAGATGAGTTAATAGAACGCATAGTTGTGCCATATTTGCAACATGTGGATATGGATCCAGATATCACAATCCGTAATGTTGCTGCATATCTTCTTGTGGACCTTTGCGTAGAATGTGAAACAAAAAGATGTTTGGAATTTTTAGATATATTAGAGAAGGTAATTAAATTTTTATACAATAACTACTGTATTTATTTTTGTTTTCTTTAATAAAATTATGTAATATAAATAGAGTGATCCAGGAGTAACCAAGCATTTGAATGTTTTTATTTTTAGATAATTAATAAACCATTTACATCAGATACATCAATATCGATTGATGCTGATATAAAGGATGTAAAAACAGCTGTTGTTGGTATAATAAAAATACTTTCTTTCAAGATGTATCATTTGCCATCAAGTCATGCTATTTGTGCTTACAAAATTTTAGTAAATCATCTTGAGCAGCATTATAAAGATCCTTCTGTCTTCCATAATATATCTACAATTAGATATTTGGTATGAGAGACACAAAGTAAATATTTCCTTCAATTTTATATCTTATAAAATAACAGTATATTTTATTTAATTTAGATTTTTGACTGCTTTTTAAAAATCAGAGCAGACAGTTTGTATCATCTTGGTATCCTGGATCCATCAAATACAACAATAATACGTTACAGTCCTTATTTAGTATTGGAACATTCTCCATCTGAAAGAATGAGTAATGCTGGTGGTAGTAGCAGTCCTCCACCTGCTAGCCCTGCACTATTGCAGCATATTTCTTGTCAGATTACTCACATGTCTTTAACATATGCTTGTAAAGCTGTTATTTCTTGTATAAAACAAGAAAAAGGTTAGAATTTCAATTAATTTGCACAATCAAAAAATCTAAACTTATTCATTAATCGCATTATATATTACAGATTGGAAAGTTTTACAACTTGTATTAAAAGAATTACCACAAGTTATGCAAAATAGAGCTTTGATATTATCTTGGCATAATAGTGATATTGATTTCTTTGCTACAGCATTGTGTTCCATGGTAAATTTTTTGCTCATAATTTCTTTTCTTTAATTACATTTATTAACAATAATTAATTTGAAATATTTTACAGGTTAGTGATAAAAATTTAAGACTACCAGAATCTTTATATAATGTACCACTTAAGTTTACTCTTTCTGAATTTCGAGTTTATGTCTTTCCAGTATTAGCATCTTTGGCTTCATATCATGCTCACTTAGAACCTAATTTACAACAAAGACTAATAAAATGTTTGGAGGTATTATACAGAAATAAATATATAATATTGCATTATGTGTCTGTGTTGTACTCCAATATATTAACATACAAATGTTTGATTGATTTGGAAAACAGATTGGTTTAACAGCAAAATGTGCTAGTCAGTGTGTTACTAGCCTCACAACTTGTACTTTAGAAATGCGTGGTGCTATGAATAAGCTTTTAACTGAAGTACTTTCAATCTTAACAAAAATCTCAGCTACAGTCCATATTGCTATTCCTATATTGGAATTTTTGTCTAGTGAGTATATAGATCATAAAATTAAATCTTTAAGTGTTATGTTGTATTGAAATAATATAACTTAAAACATTGTTTTAGCTCTTACTAGACTACCAAAGGTTTTTGCCAGTTTTATTGGAGATCAGCATATGTCTGTATTTGCTATACTATTGCCATACACTAATCCATTTAAGTATAATCATTATACAGTGTCATTGGCTCATCATGTAATAGCTGTATGGTTTTTAAAATGTAGACTGCCATTTAGAAGAGATTATGTTAAATTTATTACTACAGTGCGTAATATTCATTAACATATTTTAAAGTTTTAAATTATAATGACAATATTAATATAATTGTTTTTTAAAATAGGGTCTTCGTGCAAATGTGATAGTTCCTTTTGAAGAAGGACATTTGATGAAATCTGATTTTAGTTCAATTAATGAAGATTCTTCAAATAGAAAGCGTAGTTCTAGTCTAACAGAGCAGGTATAAATATATAATAATTTATCGTTTCTATTAACTTTATATCATATAATGATATCATTATATAGGGCAGTAGAGGTAGAAGAGAAAGACCAATAATGACCAACCGTATGATAGGAGAAAGTAGAGCCTTAGATTTGAAACCACCAATTGATGAGGCATTAATGAATTTTCACATTGAACTTACAGAAACTTGTATCGATCTTATGGCTCGATATACTTTCTCAACTTATTCTGCTCGTCCAAAGAGGTAACCATTCGGTTTTGTGATTTTCTTAATGGCATTTAAATATTAAAATATTACTTTCTTGTGAAAATTGATGATCTAATATATATATATCTTTTTTGTATTTCAGATTACCAGCAGCAGATTTTCTTCTTAAAGAAGGTCAATCTATGACGTGGCTTCTTGGTAATAGACTTATTACTGTTACAACAAGTGGCTGCAGTAATAAAGCAATGCGTGGTGGTTTATGTGACAATTGTTGGGTAGCATGTAAATCCAGGCCTCAATCACCTGAACATATAAAGTCTTCCCAAACAAATTTACGCAGATTATCTAGTTTGGAGGTATATTAAACAATCATTTATATTTCAGATGTTGTAAATACAAAAAAATTTATATAATTATTTATGTGAATTTCCAAAATTTAATTGAGTTCTTTTATAATTACTAAGAATAAATTTTTTATTTTAAATAGAACTGCGTGTGTGTGCATGTATGATCTTTAAAGATGCAATATTAAGCTATTAAGCAATTTTTTTTAGACTGGGAAAGAAGAAAAATTGTCTAGACAATCTTCTGGTGGACATGGAAGTTCTAATGCAAATGCTACTGCGAATTGTCCAATTGAAGAATCTAAAAAATCAATAGATGATATTGATAATACAAAACGAGAAATTCTCATAGAAAAGAATAAAAAAGATCATAAAAAGCAATCAAAATTAGAACAAATACTTGAAATTAAAAAAGATGAAGAGCATGTACTTTGCGCTTGCTGGTGTCAAGGTTGGGCTGAAATATATGTGCGTAGACCTACAGGTGATATGTCCTGGATTATGAGAATTCAAAATTCTATGCAATTTGAAACTCCAATGGATTTTCCCGTACATGACATTATGGCTCTTTATATGCCGCTTCCAAATGATGTATCAACCAAACAACAAGAATCTACTGTAGATTACTCAGGAGATGAAGCAGAGGTATTTAAAAGATCATTAATTGTGGCGCTAATAAAAAACAATTAAATTATAACAAAAGTTAAATGTTATTTTAGGATGGATTAGATAAAAATGATTTTCCACAAAGTGAACAAAGTAGTATAATGAAATCAATGACTTCTTCGTCTGTATCTTCAGGGCCAATTGCAATACCCAGTTCACCTGCTCGTCCGAGTCCTTCGCGTCAAAGTTCACAAGACAGTTTTGAAAGTTTAGAGGAAGGAGAAGATGGTATGTTTGATAAATTAATGATATGGTATAGTAATATATATATTCAAAATTATAATTTAAATATAGATATTATAGTAGATATCAGACGGGCTCGAAATCCAGTACGTAGATCTAACTCAAGTCCTGAAATGAGTGCTAACTGGAAAAATCCATTTTTAAATAAAGAAAAAATTAATTTACAACAATTTGATAAAGATCTGTCTACTATGGATATAGACATTAAATTAGATGCAGAATTGAAAAAACATGTAAAAACTACTTTTTCAAAAGACATGAGGTAAGTTTATATTTCATTTATTTTTTGTTAAAAGTTTGTATTACAGATATGTTATTTAATTTTAGAGTAAGTTGTGAAGCAATACCAGAAGAAATGTTTAGCTTGGGCACTACACCTCCATCATCAGAGAATACTACAGATCATCCAAATACTTTACGATCACAGCGTTCGTATCCGGGAGCAATACAAGCCACGCAAATAACAACTACCAGTAATACTGTACCACCATCTCCTACAACTGCACAGGTATAAGACACAAAATGACAAGTTAGGTTTATTAATGTTGTTATATCATGTAATGATTTTGTAATATACATTTCTAAAATAATTTAGGCACCTGGAAATTTTTTGACAACACAAGTTCGCACATCGCAAATCCAGTCGACAGGAACAAAACCTCCGCAATCGCCTACACAAGTTTATTCTCGTTTGGTCAATTATGATACTAATCAGAAACAGATACCAATAGCTATTGAAAATAAACCTCCTATTGGAAGAAATCTACTTATCGATAAGGTATATTAATTGTAATGCATTATATGAACTATAATTTATTATTTGCTTTGTCTCACTTTATTAGAAAGATGAAAGGCCGGATCCCTCTGCATTACCACCTTTACCAATACCTTTTCGTGATAGAGGACATACTATATCTGTAATGAGTCCAGTTACGAAGTCCCGTAATGAATGGAATACTGCTCGTCGAGGTAATTCACCACGTATTAAGGAATCCCCTCGAACCGGTATTAATCCTAGGTAATATATATAATTCGGATAAATTAATGGATCTATAAATCTATGACTAAATTAATGTATAAAATATACGTATTACAGTTTTGTATTTTTACAATTATATCACACTGCACATTTTGGTACTACAACAGAAAAGCCTTTATTAGTCCCTCAAACAACTGCTATACAAAGAGCAGTAACAAATTTGGATAGAATACAACCATATGAAACACATAAAATTGGAGTATTATATGTTGGTCCAGGACAAGCTTCAAATGAGGTTGAGATTTTAGCAAATCAGCATGGTTCTGATCGATACATGAAATTTTTAAAAGATTTAGGAACTTTGATACGACTAAAAGATGTAGATGAAAGTGTATTTTTAGGAGGTTTAGATCGCAATGGCGAAAATGGAAATTTTGCATATATATGGCAAGATGATGTTACACAAGTTTGTACTTCAGTTTAAAATAATAAATTATAATATTTGTTTATTATAAAATAAAAAAAATCTGTTTTTGTTTTAGGTTGCATTTCATGTAGCTACATTGATGCCAACAAAACAAAGTGATCCAAAATGCACTTCAAAGAAACAACACATTGGAAATAATTATGTAACTGTTGTTTATAATGAATCCGGAGAGTCGTATAATATTCAGACTGTCAAGGTTAGATATTAATTAATATATATGTTCTCAATTAATCTATTAAAAATTAATATCTGAATAATTAGTAGAGTAAATTTTTGAGATACACGTTCATGCACATGCGTGTGTGTGTGTAAAGTAAACATTTAAGTATCTATTAATTTTAATATTTGTTGAAATACTCTGTAATAGTTTAATAAACTTATCTTACATAATTAATCTATATAATGATATTTAGTAGTATATAATAATGTTTAATAATATATAATGAAAAGTTAATATATAATGAAAAGTTAATTAATGAAATATGTTTACGTTAAATTTTTATTTTAGGGACAATTTAATTATGCTTGTGTTGTGATCCAACCTTTAGATCATGGCACTAATCAAGTAACAGTACAAGCAAGAGAAGAACTTGCAGAACATATTGGTCATAGTGAACCAAAAATTATCTCTGATGAAAACCTAGCTATACTTGCACGTCAACTTGCTTTACATGCAAATGTAAGTTCTATATAATGAATAACAACAATTAATTTTACTATCTTTATTTTTTTTGTTTTTACATTCAGCTAGCTTCGATGGTATCTTCTTCCTTAAAACAAAACAGTCATAATCCATATGCTTCCAACTGGTTGGAACGTTTGAGGCATATTAAAAGACTACGAAACAGAGTACTACAAGAATCCGTAAGTAATAATGCTGATGGTAATTCAGATGATTTGTCACCAAGATCTAATAAACGAGTTTATATGGATGACTTTACTGAATATACTACATAAATTTATTAAAAAAATTATGTTATAAAAAAATTAAGTCATTAAATATATATCTAATATTTATCATAGTTGTTTTCTTGTAATCATCTTAATTCTTTATATTCATAAAATTAAACAAATAAGTTATAATTGAATTTCATTTAATTACTTTCTTGAAATATAAAGCAAGATTAATTATTTACTATCTTAAACATATGTATATTTAAAAAAATATATTTCTAATACAGTAATTACAGTAATCATAACAATTATAAAAATCCCAACATATTAAAATATGCATATATATTAGTAAATATCTTAAAAAATTCGTATAACATTCGTATACATATAATATACAATTTGAGTTGTATATACATATTTCTTTCTTTCAAGATAAACTAACAATAATTCAAGTATAAACATTAGACTAAACAATAATTACAACCACGTTTAAATATTTAAATTTACACAAGATATTATTAAAATATGAGATTAAACTTTACCAGAAAATTATATTAATTATATTAATACAATTGATGCAAAAGTATCATATAAATATTGGTCCCCACAAATTCAATCTTTCAGTTATAGATTTTAAAAGATAACAATCATAATTGGATTCCAAATAATCATCCTATAATACATAAATTTATATACCTTTATAAATAGGCACTCGTTTTGCTGTAAATGCTGAAAGACCTTCTAATCTATCTTCAGTATTTATAACTTTATTGTAACATTGTTTTTCAATTTCTAATCCATCTTCTATAGACATTTCTATACCTTTTGATATAGCCTCTTTTGCTAGTCTAAGTGAGATTATAAAACATAGTATAATATGTTATAATACAAAATTAAGAATATATGATACTTACTTTACTCCAATAGGACCATTAGGTAGAATTTCTCTTGCAAGTGATAATGCAGCTTGATAAGCCGCATCACCATTTTTATTCTGTAGTACAACTTCATTTACAAGATGAATATTCTTTGCTTGTTGTCCATTCAAAATACGCGCTGTATAAATAAGTTCTTTAGCTATAGCAGATCCAACTATTCTTGGTAATCTCTGAGTACCACCGGCACCTGGTATTATTGCTAGTTTTGTTTCTACAAGACCTAGTTTTGCCTCTAAAGCTGCTATTCTAATATCTGTAGCCAATGCAAGTTCTAAACCACCACCCAATGCTACACCATCTATAGCAGATATAACTGGTATTGATATTGACTCTATGTCGTTCATAATATTCCTTAAGGATGTTACGAATTCTGACACTTCTGATTTACTCATCTTTAATCTTTCATACAAATCAGCACCAGCACAGAACATGAATGGTACCAGACTACGAATAATTAGTACTCGTAATTTATCATCTTGTTTAATAGTAGAGATTGCATTATTTAATTGCGAAACAAGATTTTTTCCAAAAGCATTACGGGTATTCGGGCGATTTAGTCCTAGAACTACTATACCATTATCTTTCCCATCAAGATATTTTAAGATCACTTCTTTTACCTCAGTTTCTAATTGTAACTTTGTATTAGTAGAAAATAATTGTGTTGCAATTCTACTGCCATTGTAAACAAGTGAAGCAATCTGAATGTTTTTTATTAAGGAAACCATGACTTAAAATATCAAAAATATTTTTTATGACAAATATAACCTGAAACAATTTTAATGATTATCAATAGTAAAAAAACATCTTATTTATTACAATTGTATTGCTTAAATGTATTTAAAGGTCTAAAAAATTAAATATAATATTGTAAATAGAAAATTTAATAAAATTTAATAATATTAAAATTTGATAATATTTAGTTTCTTACTATAATAATAAGAATTAATATTAATATTATAATAATATATTGAGAAATATTAATTTTTTTTATGTAAAAACAGTCAATATTATACATTAGATATATATCTATTTACATGATTTTTTTCGATTGAAAATTTTCATTGAAAATGGATAACAATAACATAAATAAAACAAAAATATGAATAATAATATATTACTTACTAACAATTTTCAGAATTAAATACACTACATTTATTAGGTACAGAATTCAATTTTTTAAAAATTTATTTGGACTTTGTACATTCTCATTTTGACCGATAATAAACCTATAGCATTATGCAAAGTGCTAGCTAGTAAAAAAAAATTAACGAAAGTTCAAATATGGCATATTTAACTTAACTTCAGCTTTACCGCCAAATAATACAAAATTGTAATTCACAATTTTTAATTTTCTCTAGATAACTCATCATATATCATAGTATTTTTTTTTTTAATGTTATATAATTTGTAATACATGCAACATCATTTAAAAATATATCAAAAACACACAAAGTTACAGTTTTAAATGATTGGTTACGAACTGATTACCATCTTTCGCACGAAGCATAAATGACTTCAGTGGGTATGGACGAAATATGAACTACAAACGCAATAGGGAAGCATTGTTTTCACCATGTGTCTATTGTATCGATGTATAGGCTTGTATAGATTATACTTCTAACTAGGAGTATAAACTATGAAGATAGATTACTTAAAAAATATTTGTTAACTGTACGAACTTTATATTTCATCTTTCTAATTAAACTTATATATATGGCTAAAGTTTATTTAAACTATTTTGATTATTAACATATATATATGCGTAAATTTTTTCATCATTATTACCAAAGTATGTTATATTCTTAGATATTGTGAGTTGGCGCGAATATTTATGGTTATTTGTACGTTTGTTATATAAAACAACTAAAATTATATAAAAAAAATTAAAAATATAAACAAAATTAAACAGGTTACAAAAAGTCCATCATCACTATCAAGTTACTAGGCAACATTATTCGTTAGTGATAAAAACAACTTTATCAAGAAAAGCGTTATGTTGTTTGTTTATCTCAAAAGAAAAGAATAGGAACAATTTATCAGTATGAAAACTGTGAAGTATCTGTATGCATGGATTACTTCAAATAATGTCATACTATACAAAACAATATTCCTATCAATAGTCAATATTATCAATAATGTATATGTATGTAACAAGATTTATTCTTCCTTACATAATTTTTATTATATTTTTGTTTTTGTTTTTTATTACAGAGCACTGAACTTTTATATAATTGACATAGAATATATGTAAAAGTTACTGGAATATGATTTTTTCTTTTTTTTTTAATTTGTCTATATGAATACAATAAAAGAAAAATTGGTGATAAGAACATTATTTTTCATTTTTTCTTGATGCAAATGGATCATGCAAATGAATCAAGCAACCATCAGCTCAATATTACTTGTAATGAAATGCATATCATAAAAAAATAATATATATTATCTTTTTATTGCTAAAAATAATACATATTATCTTTTTATTGCTAAAAATAATACATATTTTTTTTATGATATGCATTACATTATACTTTGTGAAAATTCTGGTCAACGCTAACTACACAGTAATTTCAACTACTACATTTATTAACTCTAATTAACTAAATTTTATGCAATTGAAAGATTTTATATTCTCCTATACAAATCCGTGTACATTCAACACGGTTAATTTTAAATCGATAGTACCATGAGATCTATTTCTCATATCTATACATTTTATTATCATTTTCATAACCTGCGTCTGTCATGAATAAATCTCGTGACGCGAAGAACACGAGATATATTTAAATATGCTTATTTCAACTCTATGTGCAGTTTCAGTGACTCCCACAAGTGCCATTTCTTATACGTTTCGTTACTATGACTTTAAGAGAACTTAATTATATAGAAATAAGAAATATACTCCTTTTGAAAGATAAAAGTATGAATTTAATTTAATTAAAAAAAAAAAGAGAAAAGCGAAAAATGTAAGAGACAACTTTAATAATAAAAATATATAATTTCAAATAATTCTACTTGCATACGCAAAAGTGGAATCTTAATACATTTTCGTTTGTTTGTTTCGGCTTCATACACACTTTTATTCAGTACTGTTTCAGTGGTTCTCACAAATGTCATATTTTATACATTTCGTAGCTATGATTTTAATATGGAACTTGATTATATAAAAATAAAATTATGAATTTAATTGAATTATAGAAAAGAAGAAAGTGAAAAATTTACTTTTCTCGATTTTGCTAATAAAAATGCATAAAATATGAAATAATCTTATTCGTGTACGCAGGGCAATATGGGATCGAAGATGAAATCTACCCATCGTCATAAAAGCATTTTAAGTGACGTGATAAAATTAAAATATAACTAAGAGCCATTCTGAAAAGGCTCTTATGAATCTTCGAAAATAATTTAGTATCCTAAGTTGCCTTCTTAATTTGTGGGGGCCTTTTCGGCATATAATCTCTTTTTTGCTTCTTGCAGGTCATCCATTACGTGCAAGCAAGAAAAGAATCTCCGATTAAAAAACTCCATCATTCAACAAATGTAATAACAAAATTTAGCATATTAAAATAGTTAATAAAAAATTAGAACTATTCTTAATTCTAAAATTTGAAAGAAAATCAACAATCCTAACGAAACCTTAATACAATCCTAAAAAGAAAAAGCCTAAATCATTTGTATAAAATATGATTACTAGCTTTTAATTGAGAGATATCTGAAAAGCATAAGGGAGAAACTGGAATTAATATATTAATCGCTGAAAATCCTGAATTAAAAATTGATCAACTTATTCTAGAGTCTCCTTGCTTTTTAGTAATGACTACTCATCTTTTCTTTTTTAAAAGTAATAATTCTACTGAACTTTGTTTTTTCAAAAGCAATGACATTATTGAAATCTTTATTTTATCAATTCAAATTGATTAAATATTTAATTAATTTTTACTTAAAAATATAATGAAAAATCCTTTGATGCTCATTCTTAGAAACGATTATTCTATTACAAGAAAATATCTACCACAAATATCTTCTTGTTTATTGTTTATTAAAACTCGTAAATATCTATGAATATTGATATTAAAATACAAATAAATATAAATGCGTATGAAACAAGAAGATTCTGTTCTGATTTAATAAATCAAAAAATAAAAAACCATTGTCGTGTAAATCTCCGAAGAAAAGTTTCTCGTGGTC